TATATTTTTTTTCTGACCATGAGACGCGGGTTCGAATTTCACCATGATCGATTTGTCAGGTAGATGATTTCTTGATGTTGTCTCTCTGGAGGAGGCGATCTCAGCGTGTAGCAACTTTGGAAAGTGTCCGAAAACGATAACACGGTTTGACCCAAACAGTGTATTTCTTGACTCCTTTAAATGCAGTATATGGAAAAATATTCGTGAATATGAAATGATTACGATCAAAATAAGCAGACATAACATTTGTAACTTATTCAATCAGACATTTTATATATATATATATATATATATATATCTATCTATATATATATATGTGTGTGTGTGTGTAACCCGGATATAAGAGAGATTTTCTCTGGTCACAAATTAGAGCCCATACTTACCTAAACAAAATAGACCAAACCCGGATTTCAAGAGACTTCTTATCCGGTCCCGACAACTCTCTTATATCCAGGTTACACTGTATATATATTGTGTGCATGCGCCTATTTTTTCTCTCTACATACACACACTTGTATTTTCTACAACTGAATAAAACCTTCAAATAGAAAAATAATATTTTCTTCTCATAAGAGTGATGTTGCTTTCTGACGCTAAAGGTCATTCGCCATAACTCATACAGTGTAACCCGGATATAAGAGAGTTGTCGGGACCGGATAAGAAGTCTCTTATATCCGGGTTTGGTCTATTTTGTTTAGGTAAGTATGGGCTCTAATTTGGGACCAGAGAAAATCTCTCTCATATCCGGGTTTCTCTTATATCCGGGTTACACTGTACTTGATATATGGTCAGATTTTAGCCTACGTAAGTAAGCATTTTTTGTTCTTTTTAATTCGTCCTTTGCTTAGAAAATAGCGCCTGATTTCATGTCTGCTTAAAAGCGTGTATTTCTAAAATCTTTGATACCCCAGTTGCATCGATGTCAAAGAGGGAGGCCTAAAACATTTGTAAACACACCTATAAGCTTTGAATCCTGTCAAAATAGCCAAGAAAATGTTTCTTTTCAACATACTAAATTATTTACAGGTTTGTGGTCTGTAAACCACATAAATCTCCGAGGTTGTGACACAAAAGCGGCCATTACAGACAGCGGTTCTTTATGATTTCCTGTTGGAGAATTCTTTATTTCTTTTCTAATTCTTTTTTTTTTTCAGACACTCCTTCAGAGAATTTATGATTTGTTGGTGGCTACCAATATTTTGATTTTGTTTCAAGACTCCTTTTCTCGTTGCAAGTCTGCGTTTCTTTTCCCCGGGGTGAAACTGTAGTAGTAAATATCACTGACCTTACCCCAGGAATAAAACGTTATACCAAAATGGTTTCGGGACTAATAAACATTACAAGACTTCCACTCGCTTCACCCCACACACACACACACACACACACACACACACAAAAAAAAACAAAAACAAAAAAACAAACAAATATTTGTGAACAGTCAGCTTCGATTCCAGACCCCATGTGGCAGCTTGATCACTAGCCACGCGAGATTGAAATCAAAACCGTCTTCTCACATGTTTTTAAAGATCTATATCATAATGGATGATTCAAATTTTATTCCAAGATTTTAGAAGTTAGTCTTGTAATTTAAATGATGTTGATACTTGTAATACAAATTTCAGTATCTGGCTATATTTCTGAGATGAGGTATTATGCACATTATTCGGACCATTGTCCTCATCTTTGTCGCCATTATTTATTACAACATCTCGGCCGTTGTACGCTCCAGCCTTCTTCAAAGACACATGGCTCAGTGGCTAACGGCGACGCTTAGTTCCAGTGACAAGACCCAAAGAGCGTGAGTTCAATACCCGGTTAAGGCAGTGGAGAACTTTCAGAGGGAAATTAACAGCAGATAACTGATAACTGACATCCATTAAACATGGTCCATGGAACTAGAACAGTCTACCCCAGTGAGCGAAATAAAGTGTTCAGTTCGACATTCCAACCACCTGAAGAAGGCCAGAGTGTACAACGACCGAAACGTTGTAATAAATATGGCGACAAAGATGAGGACAATAGTCCGAATAATGTAAATAGAGTAAATTAAAACTTATTGTATCTCTTAAACCTCTGTATCTTGGCGAGCACTATCCTGATTCATACCTAGTGGACAGACGCTACAAACAAGGAACTGTACCGAAAGACACAAAACCGCGTCGTTTGAGGACGAACAACAACTAAAATGTTTAGCACGAGTAACTCAAAGAGAAAATAATGGCACAATTAAGATGTCGACGTTTCCCACTATTTAAAAACAAAATAAGCCCCCCCCCCCTAATCAATACTAGAAAAGTGGTAAATATTTAGATCTGTTTTCCTGAAATGTTTTAACAAACAATTCCGACGCTAATACTGGCTGCTCGGTCAATGAAAGCCGAATATCATTAGAAAAAATACGACACTTTGACACCGTGTCAATGGCTAATGAGCACAAAAAAGCCTAAGTAACATTGACTGCTCGGTCAGTGAAAATCGAATATCATTAGAAAAGATACTACACATTGATACCGTGTCAATGGCTAATGAGCACAGAAAAGCCTAAGTAGCACTGACTGCTCGGTCAGTGAACTCTGAATGTTTCCTTATAAGGAAACTGCTAATATTTCCATTCGGAATATTTTTTTCGTATGCGCATACTAAACTTCTTGGTTTATCCTTTTAATCAGTATTTCTGCCGATGAACTCCCACCTTCCTAGTTTATATCCCACATGGTAACTGTTATAAAATTTTGAATAGAACCCTGTACTTTACCAGTGTTTTCTCTTTGGTTTTGTTAAGTGCCGTGTCCTTTTCAAGGTGGTTGGAAATAGTCATGGCCAAATTCTCTTTCATATTGTAGTTCACTAACACTAAAGATTAAATACAGGATTCTGAGAAAGTATCCCACAAAAATGTTGTTCATGTTTCACCTTGATTATTACTGGCAGCGCTCCACTTATATACTAAATTTTCCAATACAAGACTCAAGAGCCATTCAAGAGAGGATGGAAGTCAAAATATTAATAAGGTGGGGGTGATATTAATGGAAGAGAAGCTGATAGAAAGTAGGAGGATATTTCTGTCGCATATGTTCCGGTGGTCCTACTATATATTGGGAGATTCTTGATAAAATCCGAAGAAGAATCAGCAATATTATTGGTCCTGATCTGGCGTCTCTGCTTCAGTCATTTTCCCTATCGCCCTAAATTTACTTCCTGTAGAATAACAATACAATAAACAACACTTACCGGTGTAAGAGTCCCAGCTAGCGTCCAGCTGGCAGACAAAAATAAAGCAGGTTGTAACTTAATACAAACCCTGCAAACTGAGAAATCAAGCTGGTATTTATATAGAAATACTTCCACTCAGGTACCAGCAGCCAATCACAGCCCAAGCAATGGACTATCCCACTTTAGCATAATGAGATGCTCCATTGCACCATAAATAACTCTTTCTCAATGTTGAATTAGTATTCACTCAGCTTGCTCCACAACTGATTGTTCGACATGGCTCTGTGAACAGGATAAACACTCAGTTGCTCGACACTTCCCTGTGCCATTTCTATAAATACTTTCATGGTAATTGTTCGGGTGAAATTTTCGCAATGGTACCAAGCCTATGAATTTAGACGCAGTTCTAAAGGGTGTTCCAAAATCTTGCCTAAGGTGTTTGAATGAATGGATGGCAAAACTGCAAAAAAAGAAGAAAGGCAAATGGTAGCCGTTTCCTTCTAAAGAAACATTTGGTGGTCACTGAGTAGAGGGTTCTCCCTTCGGTGGAAATTTATAAAATCTTTATGATCAAACAATTTTTCAGGCAAATAGATTTCTCAAGTACAGTAGCTGTTATTGTTCTTTCTAGTATTCATCACGAGCTTCTATCCTAACCTTTATTTTTATATTAGTGAGGAATAGCAACATAAAAAAGGTCATCTATCAAGTAAATGCTTAAATACCTAACCCTTGCTTGTAAGTTTCATCTTTATAAGAACAAACCATGATTGGAGCCATACCTGGGCTCGTGCTGTTCAGTCCTCACTATCCAGCCTTGAAGGCCTTCAAAAGCGCTTACGGTTGTGAGTGAGAATCACTCTCTACCCTGTAACCTTTATCAAACAGAAGGATTGCCAGCCTTTCGTTACTATATCGCCATTACTACGACAGTTGTTTAGACAATTTCTCAAATAGGTTTAGCAGTAGCTCTTATTATTTTACCAGTATTGATAGGGGGGTTCCTTCTTAACACTTTCTTAAAATGTTTACATTAATTATGCCATTATTTTCTCGTAAAGTTAAACGCTATCTATTTTAGTTATTGCAACTGCTCGAAGTCTTCAAGGGATGCAGTTTCTGTTAAAGTCCTTTGTGATTATGTAGCACTAGTCCAAGATAGATGGTCCTCGCCAAAACCTACACGCTTCTCTCACTCGAAGCCATTTTTAATGATTGATCCGAGAAGGTGGTTATATACAGCTAATGGTGTATACCAGATGTCGGCAAACTACGGCACGCGTGCCACGCCAAGCAATTTCCAACGGCACGCAGCCACAAATGACATCACGAAGTTCGCAAAGAAGATATTTAGCTGTTTCAAAACTGTTCAATCGTTGGACTCTCTGCTTGTTTCATCTTCTAAGAGCACCGCTAATAAGGACACCAACAAATAGACAAGGAAACCTTTCTAGGAACGGGAATCTTTTATTAATGCTAAGATCATGCAAGAGTGAATCCCCCATTAATAATAAAAAATTAAGAAAAAAACGTTTAAAAGTAGTTTATTTATTAATGTGGTTTACATAATATTGTATATATTACTATATAAAATACATTGTAGAACAGGTATATTGATCTTGACATGTACGGATGCTATTGGCACACTGAATGATTTTAGTACCCTAAGACAGGCACAGTTAGCAAAAGGTTGCCGACCCCTGTTGTATACCATTCTGAACGAATTTGGTGCCATGCATAGCATCCACATGAAAAAAAATCATTTCATCAGATTGAGACCCAGAACAATGGACCAAAGAAAAAAAAAGTGTTTGGATAGCATCCACATGAAAAAAAATCTTACTTTAGTCAACTCCATAATTCTATTCCCACCACAGACTTCTATTCTCCACCGGCAACCAAATGGTATGAGCACAAAATGAACACAATTAACGGTTTCAAATCTGTTCACTCGTTGGACTCCCGGCTTGTTTCATCTTCTAAGAGCACCGCTAATAAGGACACCAATAAATAGACAAGGAAACCTTTGTATGAACGTGAGTCTTTTATTAATGCTAAGATCATGCAAAGACAAGGCCCCCATTAATAATAAAATTAAAAAAAAAAACTTTTCAAAAGTTTATTTCTGTTAATGTGGTGTACATGTTATTGTATATATTACTATATAAAATATATTCTAGAAAAGGTATATTGAGCTTGACATTTATAAAACTACGGATGCTGTTGGCACACTGTGTGATTTTAAAACCCTAAGTCGGCACATAGCTAAAAAACTGCCGACCCCTGGCCTAGATGTCTCGAACAAAGCCGAAAGTGGGAAACACCCAGTAAGGAGCGAACTCACTACTCAGTCGCAATTGTTCTAACAAAACAAGCACGCTAACCATTGAAAATTTCCAGGAAGGACATCGCATATAAATGAATATTTTACTTTAGTCAACTCCATAATTCTTTTCCCCCCACAGCCTTCTATTCTCCACCGGCAACCAAAGGGTATGAACACAAAATGAGCACAATCACCTCAGACAGTAGTTGACTTCATTCTTCCCGCTATTTTCTCACACGCTTCATTTCATAGGATATACCAACGGATTAATAAAACTTGGACTTTAATCCTGTCCAACAGAACGTAACAGACGTTCTACAAGGAGGGGGGCGGCTGGAAAAGTGCTCAAATGGAACCGCTTCCCAAAACCAGTATTTCTATGTAGGAACGCTAGAATGTTGATAGAAAGGGTTAAAGATACGCCCGAGATGATATGTTGAAATGTAGGGGGGTGGGGATATGCATTCGATTTCTATCTGTTATTTCTTTCTCAATTTTTGAGCAACGATCCCCATCCATTCACAAATGAAAATCATTCAATCCTTATTCATTGCAATTATCACTGAGATGACGTTTTTTTCCTTTTCTTTTCTATTTCCTCACCAGATGTGCTGATCGACTTTATTCAAAATTGCCGATACCAGCGAGTGGCGACAGATCACGTACTCATATGGCGCGGGAAATTCGAGCAAAGGTTTGTGCTTTAAAAAAATATCGACAACAGATAAGAAAAATAATGTCCTGATAACGCCAGTGCAATTTGTTATACTGTTGTATGATACAAGTTTAAGTATTTGAAAATCTAGTTCTGATGACACGCGGTCGATTTGCAATCAAACTTTTTAAAATGTTATATATCTACGGCGCATCATAAAACGCGTTTCTTCGAATTTGAAGTACTATATAACTATATAGAGTGCGATGGATAAATTGTCTAAATTGCACAAAAATAAAAACAACAAAAACACTGACTTCTCATTTTAACAGATATATTTACCAAAATTACACAAAAATATCTTGAAATACTAAAAAAGCAAATTTATTCAATAAAAAGTCACCATTGGCTTCAACCACGGCCTCCAGTCAACTTTGGAATCTCCTGCAAATCCTCTGGAGAGTCTCCATGTTTAATTTGGTGAATGCTGCCATAATCCTTGCATTCAGTTCATATTAGGTGTTAAAAAGAGTCTTGCTGATCTCTCGCTAAACTGCGCCCCACACAAACTAATCAATGGGGGTTGCAAAATGGGGAATTAGGTGGCCAGATCGAAGGGTTGATGTGGTCGCAGAAATTGCCTGACAGTCATGACTAGATTCTCCTACTTGTGTAGCATGGTGCACAGTTGCCAAACGTAGGGTCTTGCAACAGTAACCCTCTTGATCCAGGGATGTACTACCTTCTCAGTGCATTTGATACAGGCCTCCCTGTGTTGAGTTTGAGGAGAGGTCAATGGAGGCATAACATCATCATCAATAGTGAACACTCCAAACACCTTCGTAATCACCATTAGACACATCTCCTTCCGAATCCTCCGCACTGTACTCAAATTGACATCCAAATATTCTGTAATGTTCATATTGAAGCTTCCGGTGCGAATGCCAAGCAGTACAGTAAGCTGTTTTAAAATTTCCGGCAGAGTGAATTGCGTCATGGTGCTCTTTTTCTCACAGAACGTGCCCAATTGAGCCTACTATAATGTGCAATCGACAAAATAAAAAATAAACAAGGCGCATGCGCGAAATTAAAATTATAAAATGGCGCCAATTTACTCATCACCCTCTGTATAAGCTATACACATATTTCATAATACAGTGTTGTATCAGCTTTAATTCTCATCAAGCAGTATTGATAATGTATAATTGTATTATCAAATGAATTTAAATTTTTCTCCCCGGGATAAGTGATAGCGAAAATTCCATATTTCTAATCGTGTCGTCATTTGGTTGTTACAGCTATAACAGTTCGGCTATTTCATAGATGAGGAATTATAAGTACAAATTGGTTTATTCAAACTTATTTTCATTGTTATTGCCACATCATCTCGGACTTAGTACATATTGTCATCGTTAAGTGTTGGCCTTTTCGGTAATTACGAAATTTCGGACTTAATTCATGTATTTAATCCAAGTTGGTCCAGTTCAAGATTCTAAGATTAAGGAATAAGAGAAACATATGATGAATATAAACTTCCCTGTTGGTTGGTTGGTTGATTTTGTTTAGGGGAATATCAACATCTCCATCGGTCATTTAATGCCGAAATATTTTGAACTCAATTGTGTACCTCCAACTACAGAAAATATATTGTTGGTAATTCTGCCATAAATGGGTATTGTTGGCCATTTTACTATATATATATATATATATATATATATATAGTCACTATAACAACATCTATTTTTATATTTTAATAGTGTTTTATTTTTGTCTGAAGGTCCACTGTCTGTCTAAAGCAGTGCTAACACACCGCCGGGTCAGGGTGGACCTAAGGACGACTACAGTTAAGAGGTGGTTTTATTCGCCTTACAACCCCCCCTGATCAGAGGACTTGTTGCCGGATGTAGTTTATAATCATACCTAGGACTATCCCTGTTAGTGAGTTGACTATATCCACTAGGAATCTGCTTATCTGGTGGAATACCGAACAACTGAATCTAACTAGCTTGTTGGTGGTTTCGATTTTTTACAGCTTATCAACCCTTTGAAGGTTAATTAACATCAGGAAATATTTTCAGATTCTAAGAATTTTCTTTTGAGCTAATAATAACGGTTTACTAATACAAGTTTTACTAATTAACCCTTAAGTGAGGGATGAAGAAGTAGATTTATACCATTGTCAAGCGTATTTTTTAAGGCTACTCACCCCAAGGCGGGAGTGCCACAATCACACAAGGTGTTACAGAGGGTTGAAAACAAGAGTAAAAAGGTGTGACGAGGAAAGGATACAGAGAAGTACGGGGAACAAAGCATAAAGAGTCAGATGTCTATTGAAATTACACTTGAATATTTGAAGATTATAGTAATCGGTGAAGTAAGTAAGGGGAAGGGAGTTCCGCAGACGGGAAGTGCGGGAGAAGAAGCTGTTTGAGAAGAAGAGACGGTTACATTTAACAGTTTTGACAGTGAAAGGATGGGACCGAGATGCCAACCTGGTAGCTCGCTTAAATTCATGTAGTTCGGGAACCAGCGAAAGTAGCTCGTCGGAACAGTTGCCGTGAAAATACTTCTAGAAGAGACAGAGGGAGGCTACGGCACGTCTGTGGGATAGCGATTGTAGACTAGATGCCAGTCAGGACCTATCATCTTGCATATTTTCTCTGAACTTTGTCGAGGACCTCGAGACGTACAGCAGGGGCATCAGACCATATATGACAGCAATATTCCATGCAAGGACGGATGGTTGATTTATAGATTTGAAGGATGGACTCAGACGAGAAAAAAAACTTTCTGGCACGACACAGAGAACCAACTTTCCTTGCGGTAGATGAAGCTATTGATTCAATGTAATTTTTCCACCTCATGTCAGTGGACAGCGTAGGACCAAGCAGGCGTAACGAGGCGCTCTCGAGGAGTTGGGAATCAGCCATTTTTATGGGAAGCAGGAAGGGTTCTCTGAGGTGGGTGAAGGAGAGCAGTTTCGTTTTGGTGGCATTTGCGCGTGATTGAATATAATGAACCCAACTGGAATTGGAACTTAACATGCTTTGAACGTCTGCTGGGTTCACTGCAGACATCAAATTTAACTACGATCTATTGGTGAAGAGTCTGGAAAAATAATCAACTCACTATATCACTTAGGAACTATCCGACTTTTTTTTTCCACGATTATCTTCTGGTGTAGACCACGGTAAGTAGACAGCAACGTTCATGGCGAGATTATCAATTTCCTTATAAGGAAACATTCGAAATTCATTGACCGAACAGTTAGAAATTTCTATTAACAATCAAGGCTAAGATCACTGTTAAAACAGTCTCTCAAAAAAGGAGATTTTGAAGTCCACTGATGGCTTTTTTTCCCTACCCTATTGTCTCCGGTAATATGAAAAGTCAACATCTTCAATTTATCCTTATTTTCTCTTCCAGTTCCATGCGATATTCATTTTAGCTGCTGCCACTGTTGAAAATCTTCAGGTGACATGGTTTCTGTTACTTGCATTATTTACATTATTCGAACTGTTATCTTCATCGACATGTTCACGTTTTGGCCGTTGGACACTCCGGCCTTCTCCAGGTGATTGGAATTTCGAATCTAACCATTTCTACCACCTCAGGGTAGATTGTTCCCGTTCCACGTGCCATACCTCTTTCAGATGTCTCAGTTATTTCCCTTTAACTCTTCCAAATTTTGGCTCACCACTGCTGTGGCCTGGTATTGAACTCGTAACTCTTTGGGTCTGTTAGTTGGGAAAATACTTTGAGTTCCTGTAGCACCAGTCGATGAGAATTAATGAAGGATCTTTGAAACTTAGAGGATTCATTCGTTTGAAGTCCTTTTAATCACTGATCTGAGAAAACAGTCATACACAGCTGATGGTCGAGATGTTTCTGTAAGATTTGGATGCCATGCATGACAGCCATACAAGATGACGAGGTTGTTTAAGAACATGAATAGTGCACTTAGGTTAATGTTTTGGTGTTTATAGCATCTTATGGTTTTAGTGAAAACCACGCCTGGCCTAGCTTTATTCTATGTTCAATTTCCTTATCTCCTTTAATAAGTGAAAAAAAAGTCACATCGATATTATTAATGCACTAGCAGTAGAGCACGGCATTGCCCGGAGATGTAACAGTAAGAGATAGATCAAGTATCGACCATCATAAAGACTGAAAAATTAAATTGACAAAGATAATTGTTTAAGGTTGACGGACACGCATGTCTTAGTTCGTCTTATTTTTTTTTTTTTACGAATTGGTCAAACCCAAACAAAAACATTGTTTTCAATCGTTATGAGCCTACCGATTGAATAGAATTTTATTATAAACAATTGTTTTGTAAATGGAATTTTTAAAGCATTCTGAATGTAAAAATAAAGAAAAAAGTGTGCAAGACAATAAGAAACACTACCTGCCAAAACAAAGTGAAGTTTTGTTGAAATCGGTTGAAAAATGTAGGAAATCCGTTCCCATATATAAACGAACACACACAAACAAACAACCTGGGTTTTATAATAAATATAACTCGATATGAGTTGTCCCCCTTTCATTCTGGGGACAGAATCGTGTTTTCAAATTGATTTCGTGCAAAAACAATTGTTTTTCCAGTTTTTGGCGCTGTCAGAACTACCACAAGGTAATTTTACGGAGTCCTGTGAAGTTTTGTTGAAATCGGTTGAAAAATGTAAGAATCCGATCCAATATATAAACGTACAGACAGACACACACACACACACACACACACACACACAATCTGCATTTTATAATAAGTAAGATATTAAAACTTGGTCACATCAACTGTCTTTATTTTGCCCTCACTGCAGCTCAGTGTAGTTAAAGTAAAATCTTTATTTTACTCAACATTATAAACACAATTCTTAATGTTTTAGTATTTTTAACTAAAATGTTTGCATAACACAAGGCCCAAGAGCCACTCAATATAGAGTGTTACTAAATGACGCTGTCGGAAGTAAGTGCAGGTTATGAAGGTATGCAGGATAGATACCGTTGAACTTAGACCTGAAGAAGTTACGACTATAGTGGTCGGGAGAGCATCCTCTTGGGAGTTTCTTCTACAAAAGAGTCGTTCTAGGAAAGAAACCGTCAGATTGGAACTTCTTACCAGGGATTTACAAAAGGATTTCTGATGGTTTGCCTTTGTGTATGGCGGGTTAAGAACTTTGCATGTTCTTTGTTTAATTTTGGCGTGACGTGTAAATTCATTTAAAAAAAAAAAAAAAAAAAAAAAAAAAAAAAGCTCTTTAGCCGTAAATGGAATGTACTGTTTGCTTTATCTTATTACAATATAATTTTTTATCTAGTCAAGAAAGTTTGTTCAGTTATGAACACAAGGAAAAAAAATCTGTCTTATTTTGATTTTTTGACAGCACAAACAAAACCTAATTTCTTTCTTTCAGCTATTGTCTCATTATGAAGGGCTCTGTGTCACTTCACTTGGATGGCGCCCAAACGAGAGAAGATTTGTCGTCTGCTTCAGCACATCCATCAAAAGAGTTGGATGTTGCTGACACCTCGGCCTTCGAGACCTTACGGTCTGTTTCCAGCACAGGAAAACCCCCGGAAGAATCAACAACCAGTGACGTTGTCACGGGATCTGGGGAAGGGCAGAAAAAGGTTGGACATCGGCCAAAGTTGGGAAAGTTCATTATTAGTTACGGTAAGCCATTGTTTTAGTTTTTTAACGGCTTGAATAACGGAAGAAGACATTTTGCTTTTTTTTTTTTTTCTGGGAGAGAATTTAAAAAATTCTGCTTGAATGCAAACAAATAGTTGAGACAACACTTGCCAATATAAATAAACAGATTTAAAAAAAATATATTCCTTTTTTTTATGAACCGTATCCTTTCAGGACGTAGGCGATCATAGAATTCTACTTCCACTCGATCCTTTGTAGCTCTCAATAAGTTTTGTTTCTCTGCCACCTCCTTCAGACCACATTCTGTCATCCATTTGCTTAAGCCCACCAGATATGTCATGCGTTGCTTTCCCTTGTTTTTCTTTCCCTCTATTCGACTTGTGAGTATCAGATTCTCCAGGCCCTCCTTTCTCATTACCGGTCCCGGGAACTTCAGCTGACTCTTCTTGATGTTAAGTATAAGCCTCCTCTACAAGACATCATCGTTGCTCACACGCTAGGTCCATGATATCCTCAGCATCCTTCTGTACAACCACATCTCCGACGTCTCGAGTCTCTTCTTTATCTTTGAGGATATCGTCCAACATTCGCTGCCGTAAAGAAGGACAGATGTCACGTAACAGCTCAGTACTCTTTTTTTTAAACCAAAGAAATCCGCCTGTCTCGCAATACTCTGCCCAGCTTTTGGAATGCGCCCTTCGCCATCCCAGTACGTCTACGGATCTCAGCATCGCACTTACCGTCCTCCGTCAAAACACTTCCCAGATATTTAAACTTCTGCACCTGCTTGATTTTGTGTCCCTGATCTGCAAATTGCATTTTTCTTTTTCATTAAAATTATCATCTCCAAGAAAAATTGAGAATTCTTAGCTTCCTGGTTTATATAACCTTTTGAAATCATCTTATCTTTATTGGAGATAAGAACATTAGACAAATACAGAACTTTAAATATCTTGGAGGATTGAAGCTTGTTTAGTAACATCTCTTATATTCACTCTTGTTCGGCCACTTCGGCGTGGTGTAATGGTTAGCAAGCTTGTTTCGATAGGGAGTTCGATTCTCACTGGTGTCCCCTATTTTCGGGCTTGTACCACATCTAAGCTACACTTAGAAAATCGATATATTCACTCTTGTTGACAACTTTTCTTTCTTTAACCCGCTTAAGAGAAACCTACCAACGTCAACATTACTTTGAATATGCGCTCTTTAGCGCTAGAGGGCGTCGTCAAGTGATGTTCTGAATTGGGTCATTGGGCACTTTTTGGGTCTTTCAAATATCCTACTCCCCTCTCTAAGTTGACCCCATCAGAGCTGATCAGTTTCTGATGCGCCCTCCCCCATCTAAATTAACAGCCTGCAGACACTGACGTGTATTAGGCAAACCCTACCCCTCTGCAACGCATTTGATTGGAAGTTGACCAACAGCCAATCGCATTGGTGTGGGCTCTATTTCAGTTGTTTACGGGGGATTTTTTACTTTTTATGTGGATACTCGTCGGATACTTGGAAGGTAATTATGTGTTTTCCGTTTTTTTTTTTGTTTTTTACTTTTCAAGTTTCATCTTCCCAGCTGATAATTACTGTTAGTAAAAAAAGAAAAAAAAATGCAACCTTAAAATAATAAGAAATAAATTTACATTGTTTTTACGCTTAAAATAAATAAATTACAACTTATGCAGCGTTTTAAAACGAAAATAAATATGTAAATAAATGTCGTTTAAAACAAAACAGTATTCATGTACTTGACGAGCATTTTTTTTCCACTGGTGCCCCGACAAGAGAAATTAAGGCGCTACTAGATTGGTATCTAAGTTCCACCCGTTTACTGTTGAAATAGTTAAATTCTACCGTCACTTCTACTCCAACAGTTCTTTCTCGCACTTCCCACGTGTGGAACATACTTCCGATTTCTTACTTCTCTGATAATTCCCGTCCATCGTTTGTTGTTTCCTCAATCCTTGCCATTCAAAGTCTTCTCTTTCATTTTCACTTCCTGTGTCACACTGCGCATGAGTGATCATTCTTACTTCCTGTGACACACTGCGCAGGAATGATCATTCTCGCTTTGTGTGGGGGTGAAATGATTAAGATCAAAATTAAAGAGAAATCCAGCAAAGCTATGAAAGGACAGGAAATAGCCTTCGTAGCACAGAAAGAGGTAATGGATTGTTATGTAATATCTAATATCCCCCCCTATGACAGTAAATACGGGATAATTTCCTTATATATTAAGCTAGTTGAAGCAATATTGATATGCTTCTACGGACGAATACCGAGAATTAAAAAAAGAAACAGACAGAGCATAAGAATAAAAAGAATAAGGGAAAATAAGAACAAGAAAACTTATTACAATCAGAGAGTTGTAATTTCCAGGACTCATGAGAAAAGAGGGCCTCTAGAATTTAACACTGAGGATATATTGAAGGCAGGAAAAACAGAGATAGGCAGAAAGTGATATATTTTAGAGAATGAATAAATTGATGGCAGAAATACAGAGTCACCAGTAAAAAAACAACAACAAAAAAAAAAAACAGTAAATTCAGAAAGACGTGAGACAACCGTTGAAAACTGGTGACGACTGATGTGAATGTAAAATTCAGGAAGAATTTCTACACATTTCCTCAATCCATACGTCGTATATTCATTGAAAGGCATGGTGGCTTGACTCTCATAATTCAGTGAGAGTAGACATACGAGGAAAGCAGAACGAAAGACAAAGATTTTTTTTGCAATAACCTTTAAATAAGGGTGGGATATAGAGACCAAATTTTTCAAAAAAAAAAAAAAAATAAATAAATAAATAAATAAAAAAATAAAAAAAAAACAAACAAACAAACAAAAAAAAGAAAAGTGGGAAAGTATTTAATTCAACTCATTTGTGTCCAAATAAAAGGAAATGGCCAACTTTTTCAACATTTTTGAAAAATGGGATGGAGCCGGACCGAAACGTGCTCAGACCTTCCCGGGATCCCCCAAATCACTAAAAATGACAACGAACGTATTCCAAATAACATCAATATTCATCAACGAATCTTCACCAAAATGATTCAAATGATAAAATTCATGGTTCTATGTACACAATATTAAGTCTACACATTAAATCCCATCCAATAGAGTATTTGGGGGCTGAAATAGACCAAATTTCAAGAAAAAAACGGAGATACATGTGACTATTTTAAATTGAATTCACCAAATACTTCAACATCACATTTTATAAAGACATGCTATCGGCCAAAAGTGTCCATATTTGAACATCTCAGGACATTATAAAAAAACAGGAAGAATGGTCAAGAGGGTTTTTGGTGATTCCAACTCACACGTTTAAGAATTGCATCGTGACTTTGAAAGTAAAACATGCCGCACATCTTAAAGTGCATTCAATATATTCCACTTCAAGGTACAATTCACATCCTTGTACCAGTTGATTATAGGCTGGTGTATCTGAAATAGTATTCCTTAGATCCTCAAAATGGTGAAGCAAGGCAGCAGCATTATATCCAAAGCGACCAAAACGTATTTCTTTATAAAATGCAACCTTTTTTCTTTTTGTTTACAAAATGCATCAATTACCACAGGGATTAAAACCTTTAGCCAGGAAAAATTTCAAAGATGACACTGTTTTGATTATTTTTCATTTAGTTCAAGTTTACTCTCTACATGCTTCAAAACAGATAGAGGTTCCTGTGTCAAACACCTCACAATTGTGGCTCATGCAAAGAAGATGTATGAATATGTGCTGTGACAGGAGGGTTGCAGCTACCAAGTTTTCAATTACCAAATTCTTGGAAATAAGGGTCGTTATTTTACCCAAAATCGGTCTATTTTTGCTAAAAACATCAAAAAATATTTTCCTAATTTCTGTGTAAGCTTGTAGAAACAACATATAACCATATATTCAAACATTTGAATCAAAATCAGCAAGGTCTGTGGCTCATTTTTAGTGTTTTGTGAAATACGTTGTCATTTTTAGTGGTTTCTTGGGCCCCAACCAGGTCTGGACACGTTTCAGTCCGGCTCTATCCCAATTTTTAAAAATGTTGAAAGAGTTGGCCCATTTCCTTCTAGTTGGACACAAATGAGTGGAATAAAACACTTCTCTAGTTTTTTTTTTAATTGGTCTCTATAGGCCACCCCTACTTTAAGTAACGAGTCACAAGATCGAGCAGAAATTCGTCAATCATGAAAGAACCAATCAGAGTTAAGCAATTGCACGAGAATCGAGGTCATAAATATTCAAGACATTTATTCAAGGTTATTCAACACCAATTATTAATGAGAGATAAAACAGAGATAATAAATTTGCCACTTTTTTACTGGGCATCGGGTAGTACAAAGTGGGATAGTAAATGGTAAATCTCTTTCCTGATATGCTTATTTCCAGCAATACTAGTCACATCTATGTGACTTTTCCCTTCAGGGTGTGGGTGATCATGGCTTCCCACACCTTCCTGTTCTCTAGATTTATGGTTTGTCTTTTTTTTTTCTAATTATTGTTCTGCCAACCCTTTACAAAAGCTAGTTAGGAAAATGATGTGCTGCTTCCTCTGCCTCTCTTGCCTTCATTATGTCCGATGAGCGTTAATTTTTCCAAACCCTCTTTTCATTAGGTTCCTTAGAAATTTCTATAATGATGCAATTGTGAGCACTTGTATACAGTGATGTTTCTTCTTCGTACGCAAAGATAATGTTTCATTTGTCGGATAGGGAAGAATGAGAGCACTTCGACGTCGTGTAATAGTTAGCGAGCCTATCTCGCTAAATCAATTGTTTCTGAGTTCGATTCTCACTGAGTGCCCCATACTTTCGGCTTTGTACAAAATCTAAGCTACTCTTAGAAAATGCCCATACAAAGGAAGGAAAAGAATGTCTTCTTTAAAAAAAAAAATACAGAAGAAAAAATTCTGTGAAAACTTTTTAAAATTATAAAAGTTCCTTCTCTTTCTCTTCATTTTTCTTTTTCATTAAATATTCCTGCAGGAGCTGGAGAAAGCCTTTTTGATTGCAGCCTGCTTATAGATGTAAAGCCCGTGGGAGTAACAGCGATTTGTGACAAACCAACCTATTTGCTACTCCTTGAGAATGACTTCGTGTCGAACGAGTTTCGAGTAAGTATTGTATCGCTTCAAGCTTTAATATCCGAGAGGGATTTAGTATCCAGCGATTGGTCTTTTTTTTTTGTTTGACGGCATATCTTCTTCATGCGTCATTTAATGCCGAAATTTAATTTTCTTGGGAGTTTTGAAGTAATAAAAATATGTCAATTCTACTTTCACAACTGAATACATGGTAGATGATGCGCAGCCTGTGCCCATATACAGGAAACCCTTGGTAAGTGTATTTAATTTGTACATCGGTAACTATAAAAAATAAATTTTCAATTACTATGGTTAAATTGAAGAATGTCTTACGCACTAACCGAGTATTATGTAAGCACTAATCGAATTTTGGCATGTAAAATTTTTAGCGCACAAATCGAAAATGCATTAATCAAAGCATGCCTGTACATGTTTGAGGGAACACAATTTCTAGAGTCAGTAATATCTGTGATTTATATTATTTTATTTTGATGTTATATTTTGGAATACAGCTTGATTTCTTTAAGAATTCGTGTGAGCAACGATGGAAAGGATACAAACATGGAGGAAGCTTATACTTAAGATAAGAAAGAGGGAGATGAAATTTCTGGGACACGTAATGAGAAGGGAGGGCTTGGAGAATCTGATACTCACAGGTCGAATAGAGGGAAAGAGAGACAAGGGAAAGCAACGCATGACATACCTAGCGGGATTAAGCAAGTGGATGACATAACGTAGTCTGGAGGAGGTGGCAGTGCGACGAAACTTATTGAGAGCTACAAGGAATAGGAGGAAGTGGAGAGCCATGATCGCCTAAGTCCTGAACGGACACGTCACATAAAGGTCGAATAGAGGGAGAGAGAGACAAGAGAAAGCAACGCATGATAAACCTGGTGGGTTTAAGCAAGTGGATGGTAGAACGTGATCTGGGTAATTTGGCAAAGGCACAAAACTTATTGAGAGCCACAAGGGATAAGGTGAAGTGGAGAGCCATAATCGCCTACGTGCTGAAAAGACACGGCATATAAAAAGGATATTATATGGATTAATACCATAAAAGAGTTCTTTCAAGTTGGTTGATTGATTGATCGATCGATTTTCTTTAGAAGCATATCAACCTCTACATGTTGTTTCATGCCAAAATCTAAATATGTTAAACGCAGTTTTACGCCTTCAACTATAGATTATAATATATTGTTGGTCATTTTACTATAAATAGATATTGTTGATAAATTTTATCGAAAAATCTATTGCTGGTATTTTTACTATAAAAATATCTTTTTATACTTTCACAGTGTTTTCATTTTGCTTGAGAGTTCAGTATTTGTCTATAGCTGCGACCATCACAGGTGGATCTGTGAACAATAGTAATTAAGACGGAGTACTTCGTTCCTCAAAACCTCCAATCTCTCGATCAGAGGCCTTGCTGCCAGATGTAGTTTATCGTCATACCCAGGACTAACCAGCAACTGATATTAGAATTTGAACAAAACCTAGATGTCAAAACAATGCACATATCGGTAGTACTATTCTAACGTTGTAAATCTTGCTACACATTAGGAAACATACATACATACACAACTACGAATAACAAATGAAATAAAAATAGAATTATTAAGATATTGGAAGAGCTTTACAGTATTTTCAATGTATTCCTCCATTTCATATAAATATTGAGGCCTACAAATTCTGAGTGCTTTTAAACAGAATCATTAAACAGTTTATTCCGTATTCTATTTTGTTATGGGGAAATAACAGATTTCAGAGATAATTTTAGTTAACTTACGATGAACACTTATTTTTAAGTCATTGTCAGCACGAAGTAACATAATATCTAGGAAACGTAAAGTGTTATTTGTTTCTGTTTCATAAGTGAATTCTATCGTATGTTCAATGTTGTTCAGTTTATCTACAAGGAAGCTTTGCGGGGATATGTTATTGGAGCGTCATCAATATATTCGAAATATATTGTTTACATAAAATATTCATGAATCTGATTCATTCAAGAGTATCTAAGAAATATACGATGTACACACACACATTCATGTGCACTCAGATTATTTCTTTTGACTATGCACATTATATTTAGTTTATATACGTGTTTCAGTAGACATGTTTTTTTTTAATAAATAAAACAGCAGATATGTAATCAAACCCGTATATCCAGTAAATAAGTCATAATTATAAGATATTATATCGGTGTAATAAGGAACAGAACTAAAATACATTGACGATGGCTAAGAGCAAATTAGAATACAAAGAATACAAGTAAAAGAGTATATATATATATATATATATATATATATAAACAAAATGTGGATAATCTTCTGTATATTGTAACGGTTTTCTTAGATTCATCGAAGATCGAATTAGCGGCACGGAAGCTTCGAGAATAAGGGTACAATGTGTGGGGTTCAGTGTACCCGGATTAAAGGAGAATTTAATACGGGATACCCTGCCCACAAAATACAACGCAAATTTCAAGAAGAAACAACACGATAAGGAACGTTTGTAGAAAATAGTACATTGTATATTTATTATCTTGTGAATAGGGTAAAAAGGATTAATGCTTTAGTTCGTTTAAGCAAAATTGTGATTTTGATAAAAATGTGTGTGTGTGTGCTGTCTTTCAACAGAGTAGCAGAGTAATGTCTGTTTCTTTTGTTTTTGTATAGTTGCAAATGAAAAAGGGGAGAGCAATTTAAGTTGAAAAAGATAGTGTGAATGAGGAATAAAGATAAAAAGGAAATGTACTTATGAATTGTTTTGGAGTCAGTTGTAAATTTGTTGTTGTTGTCCTTTCCTAATCCACTTTCGGCTCTTAGTGTCGGGTTGAGTCACTGTCAGTCTTCTATGATCTCTGCGCCCTTCTGACTCGGCGACTGACTTGAAACTCTGTATTGTTGACTTTTTTTTCACACTGGCTCGTTATCTTTTTTTTGGTTTATCGAATCGCCTCCTTTCATTGGTCAGAAAATTAATTTCACACCTTATTGCGAAATCTGTTTTTAATCGTTTTGATCCGATTTCGCGGGTGTGCAAATCTACTTTGTGTTTTTTAGTCACTTGTTGGAATGATATAGGATTTGTATCCTATAAATGTTAATCTTCAGAGTCAGAGGGCACCAGCAAATGTATTTCAGGGTTACTCAATGGTTTACAATGGAATAAGCTTCCTCCATTTCTATAGTGCTCTTTGCCACAAGAGTATCTTTTTCTCTAATTTTTAGTTGTCCCCGATAGTATTTGTTCCCAATGGGAGCCAAATCATGTCCGGATACAGTTGATTCATGTGGGCACCTCGGCGTGGTGTAATGGTTAGCAAACTTGGCTTGCTAGATCAGTTACTACTGAAAAGCGAGTTCGATTCTCACTGAATGCCCCATACTTTCGGCCTTGTGCCACATCTAAGCTACGCTTGGAAAATTTCTACAGTAGATTCATGTCCGTCATTAAATCTTACATGGGAATATCAGGGATTGGCTTCTAAAAGCTGAACCATGTCAACTAAAGGTTCGAAATTATTAGCACAGACATTATGACGTAAGAGAATCGGACCAGAGGCTGCTAGCCAAGTGGTTAAGGAATGACCACTATGTGATCAGATAATTCCAAATCGAGGGAAGTTAATTCTCATAACATTCTCCGCCACCATTTTTTTTAATAATACTTTTTTTCTAATGTTCTGAATATAGTAATGTTTTCTTCAATTCCTCGAAGGTCATCTTGACATCACTGAATCTTCAAGAATCAGAGTAGAATGTGGATCCCCAGAGGGTACAAGCAAATGTATTTCAGGGTTACTCAATGGTTTACAATGGACTCAGGTTCCTCCATTTCTAGAGTGCTCTTTACCACAAGAGTATCTTGTTCTCTAAGTTTTAGTTCTCCACGATAGTATTTGTCCCCAACGGGAGCCAAATCATGCACGGATACAGTAGATTCACGTTCGTTATTAAATCTTACAAGGCCATATTGGAGATTGACTTCTAACAGGTAAACCTCGTCAACTAAAGGTTCGTAATTATTAGCACATACATTACGGCGTAAGAGAATCGGATCAGGGGCTGTTAATCAAGTACGCAAAGAATGACCGGCATTGATATGAAAATATTCTTTCGTTGGGTGTGGTGTCTGTCGCGGTACAGCGTAGAGATCTTGTGGCATGCAATACTGTGGGTAGAAAAACTTCCCATTGAGATTCTCTTTGATTTCTCGAAGTCAAGGCTAGTCTGATGTGCTTCCAGATAATTCCATTGTAATGTTCACACTAACCATTTCCTTGGGGGTGGGGGGTTGTAAGGGGTTGTTCGACTCGTAGCTATACCGAAATCAGTGAAATACTCACGCAGTTTCTTAGATAGAAACCAGGAACCATGGTCGGAATGGATATAGGAAAGAGTCCCAAACACTGAAAATCCGAGTTAAGCATTTAATTACCATACTAGTTGTTATATTGGGGCAAGCAAATGCAAAAGGAAACCAAGAGTAATTGTCTATTGCCGTTAACATAACGGTTCTGAGAGTTAGTAGGAAGAGGTCCCTTAAAATGTATAGTGATACTTTCTATTGGTTGTGTAGCCTTCGTAGCCATTTTCAGTTTTGTAGAAAAACGGTTTCCATCTTGCAGAATGGGATAATCAGCGCATAGATATTTTTTACATCTTCCATAGAGTAAGATTCCTGATTTTGACAAAGTGGGATAACCAGATTATAGCAGGGTGACAAAGAAGACCGTGGATCTCGTATAACATTTCTTTGTGAAGGACAGCGCCACAATGAGCCCATGAGAGTGTATCAGCAGGTATATTATTCTTCCTTAGCCTGTAAATAATTTCGTAGTTATAGTTCCCCAGTCCCATCCTCCATTTCTGGATTTTAGCGTCTTTAATTTTTCAAGGTATCTCAGTATTAAACATGAAGTTCGCCGCCTGCTGGTCCGAAACGACGGTAAAGTGTCGACCAAATAAGTAGTGAAAACACCTTTTTTTTTTTTTTAACAGCTTCTATAATACCTCAAGCCTCCTTTTCTACCGAAGCGTATTTTCGTTCATTCGGCGTTAGTGACCGTGAGAAGAAAGTCACTAGACGGCCGGCCTGATTTAAAGCAGCGTCAATTGCCGTATCAGAAACGTTCGTCTCGAGTACTGGGGGGGCGTTTTTTTCTTCAATAACATGAAGTAAATAATTTTCTATTTCTTCTATCAATTTTTTGGAATCCTTCTACGGACTCACGATTTAAAGGTCATGAGTCAGCCATAATTAAAGGTTTAGTATTGTCCGAAAACTTTGATATCCATTGGAATAATAAGAAAACGAACCAAGAACCCTGCGAAGGGCATCTTTAGGGATAGATAATTAAGTGAGCGTAGTCGGCCAGCATGAGGTTTAAACATCTCATGAGATATGGTGTAGCCAAGAAAATTAATAGAAGTGGTTGATAGAGCGGGCTTTTTTTTTCGTTGAAAGTAAGATTATGTAGTTTGGCTACCTCAAGAAATTGAGAAATTTTAAACTTGCTCTTCTTGAGTCTTGTTACCTACATCCATGTTTCCTACATCAGTGTATGTTGCGTGCAAGTTGTTGCTCGTAATAATGTTGTCCATTATTCATTGAAAGCAAGATACCTCGTTAGTGATCCCAAATGGATTACGACAAAACTGGTATAATTTGCCAGTAGCTTCAAAAGCGGTGAACCGTTTGCCTTTCCATCAAAAGGCTACTTATGTGCTCTTCAGAAAATTTATGAGAAATTTTCTGTTTTAATTCAGGAATTATTTTCGCTTTGCTCCTCTAAAGTAGTTCTTTCAGTAGACTCCAAAAGAAAAAAAAAAAGTCTGGTGATGTTAGGTCTGGTGATACTGATGGCTATTCATTTGCCCCACGTCGTTCTCTCCACCTCGGCTCGAAAATAATAAAAGGGGGAGTTCATTTTGCCACACCCTTCATATTAGTTTTTGTTGTGTTTAGTTATATAAACTTTGGCTGGTAAATTTTTCAGGATTTCTCAAAAACAAAAAAACCAAAAAAACCCAAAAAACAAAAAAAAACCCAAAAAAACCCCCAAAAAAAACAAAAAAAAAAAACAAAAAAACCAAAAAAAAACCAAAAAAAAAACCAAAAAACCAAAAAAAAAAAAAAAAATTTTTAACCTGTTCCTAATTTTTGACAAGATTCGAATGAGAAATTTCAAGTCTTTTGACAACCGCTGTTGCTCCACCAATCTGGGAATTATCTTCATTGGAATAGAAACAGGATCGAAATGCAGTTATTTAAATAATGCGGAGATAGGCGTTGAAATCGTCCTTGGAATACTGACAATAAGAATATCAAACTAACAGCGAATAAATGATTAATATCCACTTTAGAGATAAGAGCAATAAATGTTCAATCGGGATGTCTATTCATCATGCGATACAAGAGATCGAATAGCGATCATGCATGACAATCGTTACAAGTGGAAAGAGATGAGGATATATCTGTTTAGGACACACGCACGAGAACAACAACTCATACCCTTATAGAGAAAACCCAGCAAGATATTTGCACACAAAATTATGCACATTCACACCCCCGCACTATTTACGAAGCAATTAATGCACGCATTAGCGATATAATAGAGCGTTATTACATGAATAATGTAAATTCATTGTTAATGATTTTCCCTGGAACTGCATTGAAAAACAAGAAAAGGAGGGAGAGGGGCTGGATAAAGGAACAAATTGATGACATCATAAGACTTCTCATTCATCATAAAAATGTATTGTTTACGGTAGAAATGCACTAAAAAGTAAGTGGTCAGGGATTAATGCAAGACTTGACATATTCTGTTTTGTAATATGCATAATGTAAATGTTAATGATTTTATTCTAGAAATGCACTGAATATCAAGAAAAAAGGAATTATAAAATGTTAAAAAATAATTCAAACACACCTAACAGAATAAATCTACACTATATACTGGGCCACATGTTTGTAGCGATTTTAAGTGAATTTTAAAGACAATTTTTCGATATTATTTTCATAGATTTATCCAACAGTATATACGTTGTTTTTCTTTCCCTATATTCTCCATATTTGAGGCAGCTTCGTAATTCCATTTCTTGAAACTTGACAACTGTGAAGAACTGGCCTTTTAGTGTTTTTACTTAGAGAGAATTTTTCCCATTATGACAATTTTGTAAGGATCAAAAGAAATGGTAATGCGATTGTACGAGGTGAGCATGGTTTGGTCTCACACAATATCTCAACTGAACCAATTTGTGACGAGCCTAGTTTCGTTTCATTTATTGCTTTGTTTTAAGGCATATAAACCCACTGCGCCATTTCATACCTAAATTTTTCTCTTAAACCCAACAGATTTGGTGTCAGTCAGAGCTTCTACCACTGAGCTATCTTCATTTGACAGAGTGAAACAGCTAAATCTAGCGTGTATATATATATATATATATATATGTATATATATATATATATATATATATATATATATATATATATATATATATATAGGGGAAAATAAATATTCGTACAAATGAAAATGTATTTTTATTAATGTAAAGCCTTAACTAAAACAAATTTTTGATATATTAACTTAATACTTTGTGGAATATCCTTTATTGAGTTCAACAGCTACCCGTCTATTCCTGTACGTCCCAACTAATGATTTGCACACATTGAGTGGTATTTTATCCCATTCTTCTTGGTATATTGTCTTCAAATTCTTGATATTTGTTGGTGCTCTTTTCCCAATTTGAATTTTCAAATATCGCCATAAATTCTCGATTGCATTCAAGTCTGGAGACTGACTTGGCCATTGCAAGACATCAACATTACTTTCAGCTAACCATTTCCTTGTAGATCTAGCGGTATGCTTAGGATTATCATTATCCAGTTGGAAAACCCAATCAAGAGTTAACCGAAGTCTCTCAACAGAACGCATTAAATTGTCTTGCAGGTATTTCTGGTATCTTTCGGCATTCATCTTGCCATTTATTATTGACATTCTGCCAACACCTTTTGCAGAAAAACAGCCCCAGATCATGATACTGCCACCACCAAACTTTACAGTTGGCAACGTGTTCTTTGGTAAGTAGGCTTCACAGTCATTCCTTCACACATGATTTCGATAATTATGACCAAACAGCTCTATTTTATTTTCATCTGTCCATAGTACTTTTTCCCAAAACGAATATTCTTTATCCTTATGCTCTCTAACGAATTTTAGCCTAGCATCTCTGTGTCGTTTCAAGAGGAGTAGTGTCTTCCTTGGGATGTGTGATTTCAGACTGTTTTTGTGTAGTTCATTACTTATTGTACGCTTGGTTACTTTGATCCCTAATGCGCGCAGATGTTCCTGTAGCTCTTCTCGGGTAACCCGTGGATTTGTTAGATCTGGCGTCCTAATATCCTTGCTGATCTTAGAGAAAATCTTCCTCGGAGCACCTGTTCGTCTTTGGTTTTCGACGCTGTTACGAGTTTTAAACCTTGCAATGAACGAAGCAATTGTAGTAAAATGAATATTCAGGTTGTTAAAAATCGTTCTGTAACAGTTCCCATTTTTCCAAAGAGACAAAATATGTTGTTTTTGTGAAGTAGTCAATTCTTTACCTTTAGGCATTATTAGAACCTTCTCCCAAGACTAGAAATTGCAGAATGCTCTGATAATGGCTAACAGCGTTAACTATAATTACTGATAACATTACTGGGACATTCTAGAATATACTTTTTTCATAATTGATTGATTATTTTATTCTAATAATTGATTTTTACGAATACTTTTTTCACCAGTTAGAATTAAAAAAAATGCATTAATTTCTGTTAGAATAAGAATTAATTAAGTTTGTTATTATTTTTAATAGTATGTGTCTTTATAAATAAAACGTGCCGAGATTTGTTTTATATAAGGCTTCTACATTTATAAAAATACAATTTTTCAAGTGTACGAATATTTATTTTCCCTCATTGTGTGTATATATATATATATATATATATATATATATATATATATATATATATATATATATATATATTATTTGAAATCAGTTAGATGTTTTTTGTGTTGCCTTGGGTGTCCTTTTGCTATATGTACTGTTGATTTCTGTTTGTGGGTTCACTGAACGGTGTAATCACCCCAGGTCAAGGACCCCAATTATAATTAAGACGGTGTTCCACGCTCCTCAAAACGTCAAATCTTCCGATCAGAGGCCTTAATGCTGGATGTAGTTTATCGTCATACCCAGGACATTGACAGGATAGCGAAGACACCTAAGATCATATATATATATATATATATATATATATATATATATATCTTCAGTTATATAACAAGTGATGATCTATTCGTCTGAAAACCTATTTCGTCCTGATTTCAATGTATTTATGAACTAAAATCATTGACATATATTTATATATATATCTACATATTAGGTTGGGGAAAAGTCTGTGGCGTATTTCAATAGCATTTTAACACCTGATTTAGTCACACACACACATTATATATATAAAATCCCAAATGATCTCATATGAGGAATAGCCTATTTCGGCAGACGAAAATATAGGTCGTCTAATCAAGCGGAGGGTGGACCGAGTTCTTGTCAGAAATTTACAGAATTTATCCATCTCAAAGTTTCAGTCAGACGAAAGACACGAGACAGGCGTCAGGGGATGGTGGAAGGTATCTGTCTTAAAAGGAAGGAGTTTTTATAAAATTAAATACTAATATTAACCTTATGAAATTAATTTCGGGTTATATGAAGAATGAAATATTAATATTTGCTCTGTAATAATAAATTGAATTCTATTTGTGGATCATTTTGAACACTTTACATTACAAGGATCCACTTGGATTGTATACGAATGGTATCGTTAACTTTATATAAATAAATAAAAGACATTTATATGTTTATACATTCTTTTTATAGATACAAATATTTTAGTAAATGCTCTGTTTCTAATAAACATTATTAAACAAAATTTACCGGCCTGGAGGTCCGAGAAGTTTTCACAGAAAATATTCGTCCTCCGACAGGATTCGAACCTGTATCCTATACGGAACCGTCATATAGCCTGACGTGCCTTTACTGATTTGACCACGAAGGAGCT